AAAATATTTTTTTTTTAAGAACATGGTTTCCTAATGAAAATCCAGGATGATTAAAATAACTATTTACAAAAATCTCAGTTATTTAAATTAATAAGTAGAGTATTTATTTTTGGAGACAAAACTCTCATCTCCTTATTAATTTATTTTTTAAAAGAAAATATAATTATTTTTATTGCTTGTATACACTAAAAAGCAATTTCCAAACAAAAATTAAAAAAAATATTGTCTTCATAATTTCTATGTGGCAGTATGAAAAAAAATCAAAGAATAATTAATTAATGAAAAAGCATATTAAAATTACAATAAAAAATTATTTTATTTTCATTAAATATTCATGTGCAATTTTATTTTAAAATTTATTGCATTTTAGATTTATATATAATTATAATTGTAAACATAACCATAAAAGCTCTAATATCCTTTAAGAAGTATAAATGTTCTAATTGTATGATTTTTTAAATAGCACTGTAGTTATTAATTTAAATAAGAATTTATTTTAAATTTAAAACAAAATATTTTTTGGGCTTAAGAGGCCAAGATGGTGCTCTAGCACAACTCTTTTTTATTGAGTGGACGACGTGTAGTCCTCTCATTATTAAAAAATTAGAGTAGATGAGGCATAATCTAATGCAATAATTTTCCTGCCATCTATAGAGCTGGAAAAGCAAGGGTGAGTTTTTTTTTTTTTTTTTTTACCCTCAAAAGCTCAATTTTCAGCTTGTTTGGACAGAAAACATCCCAAAACTTAAATTATCCTATTTCTAACCTTGACACGTCAGAAAAATAAAAAGTTATATTCAATAAAAAAAATTATTTACAAACCCCGATTTATTTATTTTTAAATTATTTTAAAGAAAAAAATCACCATAATTGAACTCACCTCTCCAAAACAAACACATTAAAATCAAGACTGTTTTTTTTTTGTGGCTAAATAAATTTTTTATCTCCTCTTCATTTTGGAGATTTTCTCTTCGATGTCTCATAAACTAAGTGATAAAAATAAAATTTAATTATTGAAACATAAAAACTCTAGTGATCATATTAAAAAAAAAAACCTCTAGTGAACTTTTTCCAAGTTGCCTGGGGTAGTTAAAGGTTGTTCTCAATTAGTATATTTTATAATAATTATAATTATAATTGTAATTGTAATATCATAAGGTGTTTTCGAATTATAGATATAAAGAACGTGTTATAGATATTACTTTTTCTCACAACAACAATAACAATTATAAGCAGGAAGTAGATGCATGATAAGCATGAAGTAGTGTATGATTTTTGAGTCTCAAAGACTGCCTCAGAGCTATAACAATTCCAATCCTCTAAGAGCAGGTGCTTCAGATTCTGATTACCAAGCAAGCTGATCGAATCTTTCATTGATGTGGGGGTGAAGCCTTGCATAACATAGCTAAATATTGATGTTTATCGACCCCTCTCTTTAATTGTAGCCTGCCCCTAGATCTTCGAATCAACCATACAATTTGTTTTAGGCATATAGCTTTAGCTTAATTAGCATTGTTCTCAACCCTATCCTACAGGCAAAACCACTACTGATCAGCACCTGAGCTAGCCCTGTAAGGAATCTCTGCAGCCTGATCAGACTTCTTAAACACGAGACTCAACATGTTTTTGATGTAGCAAGCCCTGTGAGGAGTCTCTCCAGCCCAATGAGACTTCTTAAATATTATACATCCTTATGGACCCAGTTAGAGTCTAACCTGGGCAACGCTCAACCTATCTTGATCTGAGCCCAGGCCCCAATCCAATTCTACTCTGGTTTTCTTTTTCACACTATTTCAAACAAAGTTCCCAAACATTCCTTTTATGTTCTTCTATTGAACAAAAGCTACTCGAGTTCTCTTGATTGTGAGAAACTTTATCTAATTATCAAATGAATTAATTATAGGGATAATTTGGTATTTTAGTCGAGATAAAATATTATTTAACTCTAAATTACTTATAGTTGTGTCCGCATTTTTCGAACGATGTATACAGCATCGTATTGTAGCCAAGCATCAGCATACGCAATAATGTTTGAATCTTCATGGCGATGCCTCCACCACGAGGCAGGTCTTTCAACCAAATTCTCTCTGGCTTGGTGCTGAAGGTCTTCTTTTTTTTTTTTTTTTCTCTCTTATCCTCAATTTTCACCCATTCGACGGTCTTCTTTTTTTTTTTTTTCTTTTCTCTCTTATCCTCAATTTTCACCCATGTCCCTGCAAAATTTCAAGATAAAATAACTTAACTCATCAAAATCATGACTCAAGTCATAAAATTAAGATAACCTAATAGAAAGTTAATCGAAGAAAACCACAAAGCTCATTAAAAAAAAAAAAAAACAATTTTGAATGATGAATTCAAAAAAAGATAAGTAAAAAAAAAAAGCATGTCAACACATTTTAGCTTTTAAAATCCATGACTCAATTTATTAGACCAAAAGCACTATACATGGACAAACCATGAAACCTAATCTCCAACCAATTAAATATTGACGAATCAAATATTGATGAATGAATTTGAGGGGGGGAATTTAATTATAAAAGGATCCAAAACTGAAAATAACAATCAAAAGAATAAGGATAAAAACTAAACTAAAAAATAAATTAGAGGACAATAACAATTTTTTGATCGAATTGTGAAGTTAAAAGGAAAAATCACTTTAACAAAAGGATAAAAAACCAGAAAAATAAGGACCAAATTGAAAAAAAAATATATCAGAAATTTGGATTGAATGATGAAATTGAAGACAAATAAAAATTATACAAAAAGGTAACGAAAAAGAATTAGAAATTAAAAGAATAAGGATCAAATTAAAAAAATTAATATATCACAAATTAGGATTGAAGAATGAAATGAAAAACAAATAAAATTTTTATAAAAGGATCAAGAATACAAAAAATAAATCAAAAGAATAAGAACTGAAGTTGAAATATCAATAACTAAGAGGACGACTCTAAAATATTGAATGACCAACATGATTTTAAAAAGAAGGAGAGAGAGAAAAAGAAGAAGAAAAACTTGCCGGTAAAAATCCCTTTAACCACCACGACCACGATCATGCATAGCCTTACTAAGAAGAAGACGCTGTGATGATTCCAACGACATGATAGAAGGGTTTTTTAGCCACCGAGAGGTATTACACGCCCTGCTAGAAGACCATGAGTGCCTCTTTTATGTTTATTAAAGACTAAATTATTGTTGACCAACTTGATTAAAAAAAAAAAGAAACAAAGGTGAAAAGACAAAAAAGTCGTTCAATGCAAGCTTTAATTTTTTTTATTTTAAGAGTAATTAAGTCATTGTATTATATTTAAAAAAATTTTTAAAAAAAGTTGTTAGATGCCAATTTTAATTTTGTTTATTTTAAGGGTAAATTAGTAACTCCACTTTACTTTTAAGAATGAAAAGATAATTCTACCATGATCACTCTAATAATGACTAATAGACTATTTGAAAAGATAAAAATACGTTAACTCCAAGGTTATTGATTTTCTTAGAAGGTTAAAACAATAATTATATTATCACAGTGAATAATAAAATATATTTATAGCCATCATGTTTTTTCCTTTTGTTTTAGCTCCTTTTTTTTATAATTACAAATAAAACTTATTTTTTGAAACCGTATCAAAAAGAATTTAACCTTATAAAATTTGATCTAATGATAATTTTTTTTATGTTAAGACCAATTAAAATTGTAGTTGCTAATATACTCTTAACATAAGTAATTGATATGAGATTTTTTGCTTTAAAGAACCTAACATTCAGATCCAATGTTGTGATGAAGCCATGAAAAGTTTAGACTTAATGTTGTATGTGATGAAGCCATGAAAAGTTTAGACTTTGACTAGACTTTTCGTAGCCGTAACTTAGGCTAATAAAGTGACTGAACTTTACTACTAGTTGGTGGGTTAACAGGGTAACTTTATTGCACACTTGTAAAAACAGGTTCTTTATTAGAATAAAAGAACATCTGATGCCTAGGTTAGTAAATATATAAGGAAAAGAATACCATGTTGAGTGGGAGGAAAATGCTTGGAGATGGGAGCAAGAGCAAGGGAAGAACAATGTGACTTTGTGTGATATGCTTTGCTACTCTTAATGAGGTTCTGAATTTTATGTTATGTAGTTTTTCAAGTTAACTTACTTGGTAACCCAAGGTATTTATATATCTTAGTAATGTGTGTTTACATGGTGGAGAGTGGAGAAATGATGGAGAGTTACCTTATAGTGAGTGAAGAAATATGAGTTGTTGATAAATATATAATTAATAAAGAAGTTGGTGTTTGTTATTAGTTGTGGTGTCTTATTATATCATTGATTAAGAGGTTAGTGATTGGTAATTGCCTTTTAAGATGACATATAGGCAATGATAAGAAAATGTGGCCTTGTCCGTAGTCCTAATAATTTATGTATAAAAATGCTAGGTTAGTATGATATCATGTTAAATTTATTAGAGGTTATAATTTTTTATTAAAATGTATGTCAAGTATTAGAAATTTATGAAATACTAGGTCGAGCCCAAATTGTATTTTGTTATGTTTGAATTGAGACAATAAAATTTTATTTATGCCTAGCTCAAATAGATAAGATAGGTTGATTTGTCTTGTTATTTATAATTTATTCGGTTTGTTTTAAATTATATGTTCAAATGAGAAAATAAATACTTATACACTTAATCCTTATAAAAATTTAAAGTTATCATATTTTAAGGTAAATTCTATCTGTGAGTTTTTTTACTCATTATATTTTGATGGCCGAAGAAAAAAGGAAAAAATTAAGTTTTTGATTACTTTAAGATTTTGAATAAAAGAACAATTTTATATAATATCTTACAATCTCTTATTTTTTTATAATGAATTTTTTCGATCATCTTTCTAATGGAATAGATTTAATTTTGTATAACATCTTGCAATTCAATTCATCAGAAAAGAAAAGAAATCAAGTTTTTTTTAGCCTTTCAACTTCCAATTTCGTTTGTGAGGAATTTGAATAGAGAGGCAAAGAGAGAGAAATGTTTGGTAAATTCATTAAGTAAAACTGTCACACAATAGGAATTGACAAATGGATGCAAATGCAAATTAATATAAAGCAAACTTGCTGACTTATTGGATACCCACTTGCATATATGCATACATATATCTTAGGTTGACCTCTACCAAAGGCACGGCAATGGACTCACTTCCGTTTTAATCCACAAAAAGTGGAACACAACAACGAAGAATAAGAATCCATGCCCTTTTCTTCTCATCACTCAATTACTTATATTTATTCTCACAGTATATAATATTGGAGACCAAATGATCGAAGACATTAAATCACAACTTCTTTGTTTCTTTCTTTATTTTTTTTTCAACTCTGGTTGCCATAGCCATGGTCCTTAACATGGAATGCAGCAGCACCAGCAGGTTTTCGAGAGAGAGCAACATGCACCCCAGGATCGTGATGGCTGCATGAAGAATTGTAAACGATTGAATTGTTAACACCTTGCACATTACTGTTCATAAATGCACTCAAAGGAGATGGCCCCATTGCTTTTCCATTGGGGTTCTTGTCCTTCTTCTTGCTGTTGCCTTCCTCGCTACTGCTGCTGTCACTGCCTTCACTTTTAGGATTACCCTTCTTGTGGAGAAAACGAGAAGTTCCTTCAAAAACTGGTTTCTTGGGAGAACGGATAACTTCCATGAAAGCACCTTTGTTTTCACCGGCAATTGTAATTACCTTCATGCCAACATCCTCAGAATCTGAAGAATTCTTCTTGCGGTTACCTTTCTCCTTTGTTTGAACATCTTTAGTAGTTTCTTGCTTTGCAAGACGAGCGATGCCAGAGCTGAGACTGTCTGCAAAGTCCCTCTGTGAATCGCGCGCCACCTTAGGCTTGTCAAAAGTCTTTTGAACCAACACAGTTTTTTGCTCTGCAACTAATGGAATCTTGGGTTGGAGTTCTGCATAAGATTTTACTTGGGAAGGTGGAAGTGTTAGAGGAGAAGGTGGTGGAGCAGTGGGCTTAGGCTTTGGTGATTGAGGTGGGGTCTGAACTGCTGGCTTGATGGTTCTTGGAGATGGTCCAGGGCTAGGCACACGAGTTGCATTGGTGGTTACAGCTTTAGTAGCTGGAGAATTTTGCACTGAGGATGTGACTGTCACTGACTTAGAGGCATAAGAAGTTGGCACTGGGGATGTGGTTGTCACTGGCTTAGGGGCAGGGGAAGTTGGCACTGAGGATGTGGTGGTCACTGGCTTAGTGGCAGGAGAGGTTGGAACCGAAGAGGAAGTTGGTGCTGGTTTGGGGGTTGGAGAAGGTGGAAGTGAAGAGGTGGCGAGTGGAAGCACTGCGGAAGTTGGGACAGGAGAAGTAGGCACTGAAGATGAAGGAGCAGGTGCCCTTGAAGCTGGAGATGTTGGTACTGATGCAACACCACCTGCAGCTCTTGCAACTGGAGATGTCGGAACTGAAGCAACACCGGAAACAGGTGACACTGGTTCGGGTGGGGGAGCAGCTACAGCCTGTGGTCCTGTCGCAGCAGGAGGAGTGGGCTGTGTCTGCACTGGCTGAGGTGGAGCAATTGGCCTAAATGCAGGTCGAGCAAGAGCTGGACGGGGTTGTGGAGGTGGTGGCTCTGGAGTTGGAGTTGTTGTAGGGGCAGTTGGCCGAGCTATTGATGGCAAACGGAACCATGGACGAGCAGGGGCAGGTTGGTTTGACATGTCGCGGAGAGTTTTCGGACTTTTAGAACTTGACTAGATAAGAAACACAGGAATGAATACTAGTATAGATGGTAAATGAATGTGCGTTGTTATTTATAGTTTTATGATTTATGACCCATGAACCTTAAGCTAAGCTTGATATAGAAACAGAAAAAAGAGGGGAAATTAAAGGGAAACACCATGCGGAACCCACACCGTTGCATACAGAGAGATGAGAGAAGGAATAAGGGAAAGGCATCAGATTCAGAAAGCACTCACAGATCACAAGGGCTCGCCCACAATCCAAGATTGGTATCAACTACAGTCGTACAGAAACTTGGCTTTTCAGCCATTGTGGAATGACTTCTCTGGTCTCATGGGGGGATCATTGGATTGAATTGATAGGTAATTACTAAAAACAATACAGAGGTCGACGCTAGCTTGTTTTGCTTGCTAAACTGGTATTAGTCTACTTCAAATGTTTTTGTACATTAGTATTAGCATTCTAAAGAAAAAATTGGGCAGTCTCCTGCCATCATTTTCTAAAATGTTCCTTTCATTAAGTTAATAATTCGAAAAAAAACCTAATCCACATTTTTCTAGACAAGTATTTAATTTGTACAAGAATCCACCTGAAGCAACAGCAGAGAAAAATTTATTGATCCTGGAAGTTTTTTTTGTTTTTTTTCCCCGAGTTCTCAGTGCTGTTTGAATTTTTAGTGATCGCAGAAGAAGATTCAGCTTCCAGCCTGTCCTTCGAAGGGCGGCTACCAATGACGTTATACCTCAGCAAACTTCTAATCGACACCCTTATCATTGACTTTTTGGTGCATGGTTCTGCATTTTGTCCCACTTCTCTAGCAGAGATCATATCAGCCGTCTCTTTCTAAACATGACAATGGCTGTCCACCGACAGCGTATTCACTAATGTGCTAGTAAGCATATTATTGCTGTGATTATTGCGGCTTCACTCTACTCTCCCTATTTCCCGTTCTTTTCTAAAGAACCACAAATTGTCAATATGCTCTGCAGTTAGCAACCGCAAAACATACTGTAATAAGATTCTTGAAATCCCTCAGAAAATTTTAGTACCGTAGCTGTCTGTGTCTTCATTTTCACTTTGCTTGCTAGATAGCCAGATTGTGATTCTTTCCTTCCCTTTTTTAGCTTTCTAAACTTTGTTTACCTTTACGACACTTCAAGATTGCCCCTCCGTCTACGTAATTACGGGTGCTAAAATAGTTGAGAGAAGATGGAGAGAGGTAGCAATCAAATGATGGTGACTCAGAATACTCCAAAGTTCTCCATTGTTGTTAAAGAAAGGAAAAGAACGCCTAGAGGGTCCTGGGAATGTCTACCCTGTCTCTTCATTGCTACGTAGTAGTAACAAAGGTTTTAGGATCTTCATTTACAAGTCCCCTTCAAATATTATTTTAGTAGCACTGTAACTTCACAAGAGATGAACAAATTTGTGGTTAAGTGATCACCAATGAAACATGTGAGAAGGGGATGTTAAAATAGAATATTAAGCATACATTATGTACAGAATAATATAAATTATTATTTAAAATTTTATTTAATAGCTTAAGCTACTGAGTAGATATAATTCTTTGTTATGATATTAGAGACTTAATAGTCAAATGATCATAAATTTAAATCTCATCATCCCTAATTGTTTGATAAAAATTAAGCATAATATAATATAAATTTATACAAGTTTTAAGCTCATACAGCTTTCACTTAACAGTGAGCGTTAGAAAATAATATAAATCATTTATTGAGACCTCATCTAACAACTTAAAATATTGAGTTTAAATGGTTATTTATCAAATTCTTCTTTCAAAAATATTAATTAAGTATAAAATGGATTTTTCATTGTCTAGAAAGATTGTATAAAATTTTTTATTTTTTAAATTTGATAGTCAATTTTTTTTTTATGATTTAGTCTTAATTAAAAACCAATTGATTTTGATTTTTTATGAAAATATGAGCTTAAAAGCTAGGGAATCAAAATAAAAAAAATATCAACCATAGGTGGCGTGCCATAAGTTTCACAAAAAACACACTTTGATCCTCCAACTTTAAAAATAATGCAAATTATACAATTTGATACCTTAATATTTTTCAAATTCAATTTTGGTCTAAAATTTCTTTGTTGTTATTTTGTAGTTCCTAATAAAGAAAGAAGAGAGATGGTCTTTGGATACCAATGATAGAGATAGAAATATGTTGTTAGCACTGATTTAGGCCATCAGAATGGATGATATTTGTGTCAAAAGATTTTATTTGATAAGAGAAATTCATATTATATGTTTTTTTAACGTTTAAAATTTATGATAAAATAGATCATAACTAAAGTTGATTTTTTGTTTTAGGTTGATTATTTTTTTTTTTTGATGAATTTTTTGGGTTTTATTAGGTTATAGATAGATTTATCACGATTTTTAATATGTTTTATAGATGTTTTGAGTAAAAAAAATATAGAAAAAAGAGTTTTTAAGAAAAAAAACTGTAATAATTTTCTAGTTATTATAGTAGCTAGAATCTAGGTAAATCACAAGACATGTTATCTAATTTTATTTTCAAAAACAATTAAGGTAAATGATATCCCTGGTTGACAAAAAAAAAAAAAAAGCTCATTCATATAGGTCTGTCAAAGCAATCCATGTGTGGGCTCTCACAAAATAAACTTGGTAAGGCTAATCCGTGTATAGGCCCTCACAAAATAAGCTTGGTAAGGCCTCACAAAATCCACGCACATCAATTCAATCCTAGAATCCACGTGTACTAATCTAATTACCAAGCAATATGTCTGGCCTTTGCTCTTTTTTAAAAAAAAATTAATAATTTTTTATGGTTTTTTCTTTAATTTTTAAAATTTATATTTAAATTATTACCTCTTTTTTCTTATTTTTTTTAGAGAGTTAAAAAAAATCATTATTTTTTTGTGCATTTAAATTTAAAGAGTTTTTTTATTTTATTTTTTGCATGGATGAACTTTATTTTTTAAAGTAAAAAAGAATATATTTTCAAATAATATTTCTAATATGTGTAGCCTTGCAATGTTTTTTTTCTTTTATTGTATTCATTCAGTTTAATTTATGTTTCTATTTCTATTATCGTTTGCTTGAATAAAAAATTATCTTAATAAATAAATATAGCAAATATAATCGGGTAAATATCTCATTTTTCAAGATTAAATATCTTAATCTACATTTGTCTCTTAATTTTTCAAGTTTTATTTAATGATTTTATTTATTATTTACACATATAGTTCTCGATTTATTTAATTACATGTAAGCATAAAATTCTTGATATGAACTTAAATCTCTTAAACAGTATAAATGTGTTGAAAAAACCCGTATATATAATTTTTTTATAAGAAATAAAAATATCTAACCCACGGCAAAGTGCAAGTCATATGACTAATAGAAACTAAAAAAGATAATTTTTTTACTATAACCTTTTTATCATAGTTTTAAAACTCGACACGATCTGGCGGGTTAACCTGGGACTCGGCTAACTCAGGACCAAAATTAGGTCGAGTTTAAAAAAAAATAAGGGAAGAAAAAAACTCGGGTGAAATTGTCAAAAAATCGGTAGTAACCCATTGATTGTTTTTTAACAAAAAGGGCATCGTTTTGCTTTATTAAAAAACTAGGGTAAACTCAAGATAACCAAATAACTCGGGTCTTGAATCAGATCAACCACTAGGCTGAACTTAAAAACTATGTAAGTTTACTATAACTACAGAATATTGACATTGTAAATTCAAATAGTAAAATTATGATTTTTCCCTTATCGAAAAAATATAATTGGCCTTGGTGGTAGTGTATGATAGTTTTTTTTTTTTGCATAATAAAATAACTAATATACCTTTCATAGAAAAAAAGTGCACTAGCAAGCCTAGGTATTTTTTACATTTTTATTTTAAAAGTATAATAAAATAACCATAATACCCTTGACTTCCAATCATATTCAATTTAGATTAGGGTTTTTTTTATCTTTTCCTTATGATTTTTCTCTATTACTATCAAATATGATCAAGAGATATTTAGTATTTTATCATTTATAAATTATTATTTGATGTTAAAAGGTGGGTTCTACATGCAAATCACATGAACACGTGTGGGAATGCTCGCTCATTTTATATAACAAAACATGTGGCCAATAGATATCTTACACTATCGTCTATTTTTATTTCTTTATTTTCTCTCTCTTGGTCGATTTAAGCATCTTCCCCATATAATTCTCAAAGTAATTCTTTAATTTAATTTAATTTTACATTTGATTTTTATTATTTTTATTGTTATTTGTTGTTTTTTTCTTATATTATCCAATTATACGAGGTTATTGAATCTAATAAAGACTATAATCCAACTTTTAGATTAATTCTTTTATTTTTTTAAAAGCATTGCCTTCACCTTAATATTTTTCTTTTGAATTGAAAAAAATTTTGGTTCAACTCGCGCCACACCATGGCCACCAATAACCCGAGACACCAATTTAGCTAGTTTAATCTAAATTAAATAGCAAAAAAGAAAAATTATTACATCAGACTATATTAACTCAAGGCGAAGGTGTGATGTGATCCATAGCAGCCACTATTATCTTGGTATCCAAATCCAATAAATCATTTTTCTCGGAGATATTTCATCCACCATTTCAGTGTGGAGGGGCATTTCTTGACATTTATCAGTTTTATTTTCGTTTGAATCCCGAGGTTTGGAAATCTAATGAATAAGTTTTGGGTGGGAGTAGGTGCATTACATATAGGACACGAGTAGAGAGGTTGAATCAAGGATTCCGAGGGAGTGGTTGAGGTTAAAATATATCGCTTCGGTATCTTAAGTGAGGCATGTCACGTTAATACAAGATTTTAAGTTACCAGTGGCAGGCTCATCAGAAATGATTCCGCCTGTATACCTTAGACCATCTTTCATATTTATGACTCGTAATGTCCATTATGCTGCATGGTTTCCTGCCCTGCAGAATGAATGATCTTTTCCTTCTTGTGTTATTGTCGACAATCTAGCACGTTATCCTTACGAGGTTTCTTGCTCTGGAAAATGATCTGATCTCTAACGCGCCCGTGTACACAAGATAGCATTTTACGTATTCCTCTAGCAACAGTTTTGCGCCATATCCCTGCATCCAGATAGATTTTTTATTTGTGTCCATGAATTGCTGCTATCCCTTCAGAACACATAAGCTGACTTAATTTTTAAGGCTATGGGAGCTAACACATGTCCAAAAGGGAACTGATCCGAATGTGAAAATGAGATTACAGAAGTGCACAAGAAAGCAATGATCTGCTGGTGGGGTAGCTAGTTTCTTTTAATTGTATGTAATAGAACAAGGGAGAGAATTAGCTTAAAGGGAGA